GCGTCCAATGTCCGATGACGTCAGAGGGCAGGGCTGACCGTGCCCAGCAATGCGATGCGTTAAGCTTTCACTGCAACATTCTGTCATGGGCCTGAAATTTCACTATCGGGTGGTACGGGTCAGGGTTCACGCGAAAAGCGCTGTTTAGCGTGCGCTCCGATCGCAGAAATCCGTATGTTCAAAAGGTTGGGTCTAATACTCACCAACATGAATGCATCATGTTTTGCCAACATATAAGGCGTCCCCAGAAAGCTTAAAGTGTGTCATATTGTACAACGAGCTAAAGCAGCCAGGCGCCATGATCATATGCAAATCTTAGACAGGAGGCTGATCAGGTTATTAGAAAAAAACATTGAGAATCCCACAGGCTGAGTTTTGAGTCCTGCTCCTTCTAACACGCGCCAGGGTGGCCGGCTATATACACTTCGCTGTGGTGAGGGGGGTGGTCATTTTGACACGCCTGAGATTTCGGGAGCTAAGAAAGTTAAAAGCACCAAATGTATCGGGTGTCTTCACTTGTACGTGAACTCACTTCGGTCAAAATTTTAACTTCCTAGGTCATTACCTTCAGGTCAAATAAGGTCAAACAAGGTAAAATTCCAGATAAGTCTCAAAAGTGCCCCCAGAATCTAGACAACTGTTTCTAAGCGAAAGTTCACCAGACCATTTAAAGTCAATGATATTGTTTGACCTTTACAAGGTCATGGTGACCAAAATCAGACAAGACTGCTCTGAGTTTTGCATTTGAATAAGCGACAAAGATTACGCTAGGCGGTGTGTTCCTAAAACAAAGTTTCGGCCCAGGTCATCTTTGGTCAATGACCTGTACTGATCTCTAAGAAGTCAGTGAAAGATGTATTATGTGGTTCGTGCTGTCAAATATTCGAAATGAGCACCACAAACTATACCATACAGCAAGCCCTGGAGCAATAAATCAGGTTGGATTTTGACCTTGGTCTAACCTTCATACCTGACCACAGGTCAATGTAATTTGCTTGTTCAATATTCATGATGCTTAAGAAAGCATCTCAGAGGTGTATGGCTTCGTCAAATACTCCGTTATTGTATCAGATTGGACAATTCCCGTGAAATTGTCTTCTCTGAAAACATGGCCTGATTTTGACCTGCTATAGGGCAGCTATCTTACAAGGCTCATCTCAATTATGTATTTCAAACGATCCGCTATTCAATTTTCTACAGCTATGCAAACTTTGGCGCGGCTTCGCCGCGCCGTTCGGAAACCATTCTGGAAAAACCTTCGGGGGGACCAATTTGACCCCTCCCCACCCGAGCGCGTGTTGAAACTCGTAATCATGCATTTTGAATGCAGTAATCATGGGTTGCGCCATCAGTAGATATGAGGACCTTCAGGGGCACAATGCAATATTTAATAGCCAATGACTAAGAACAGCATTCTGTTGGTTGTAAGGCTCTGATGACCTTAAATGCCATGTCATTGACCAAATATATGCATGAGTACACGCATTGTTATATCTTGAAAGAAGCCAACTGTGAGTAAAAAGGGAACATTTCAGCATTTGAGCGATACGTCCCACAGGGATTTAGAACCTGCATTATCTCCAAATCATCGGACAATTTGTTTGAAAAACGGTTGGGAAAGTGCTTACCTATGGAATACCCACCTATGCGCACCACTGATACGTGTAATCGTCTCGTACGAGCCTCGTCAAAAGAAACCGTCACTAGCAAATTACGTCAGATTATGACAGTATACACCATATCTTGCTCTTTAGAGATGTCCTTGCTAACTTTGGAAAGGAGTCAGGATTTCGTTCAAGGTTTAAATCGTGAGCACCATTGACAAATAATTTCAATATAATATATGTGTGTTTTTTAGGAAAGCCTTTACAGCCAAACACACCTCGGATGACAGTTTAAATACAGGTATAGAATAAACCTCCATATAAAGGCCGTCGGTATCAAGCAGTCACATCCAGTGATGCCCCGCAGCCTTGGTGGGGTACCGTCCAGAGTCGGGACGGAAATTGAAAAGCGCGAGGCTTCTGCGACTTCGGCGGGCGCTGACAGGGCATGGACCAGTTATTTCCGGTTGGCTGCCGGTCAGAGCCGGCAAGAGCCGGTTAGTTACCGGTTAGTTGCCGGTTAAAGCCAATCAGAAACGATAAGTTACAGGAACAGAGGCAGAACAATGTTGACGGCCAAAGCACGCAGCTGATTTTCCGGTGCAAGGCAACGTCTGTTAGGGAGATGGCAGTAATACGCAGGCGTGATCCGACGTAATATTTTATGCCTCAAAGATCTGAACCGGTAAGATTATGACTTAAACATGCTTTTCCATGTCGCCTGTATTAGTTATCCTCGAATATCCCCCACAACCAAGTACTTAATAGAGAGTGCTCTTCTTTCGGGCATATTTCAAAAACATACTCCGGTGAAACCTCAGGACTAGTTACGTCTAATGATTACACTGGATAGTGTTACTGCAGCGCCGTGGAAACTTTATAATGAGTATATCAATTTTATCTAATGTCGAGTACAAATTACGGTGTAAACACCAAAATACGCCTAACAAACAAGGCCTCATAACAGCACTACCCTTCTCCCTGCAGTCGCGACCACCTTCGTCATGACACCCGCCGTGCGGTGAGGTCTCCTGGTGCGGATAAAAGTACGCTTGTAATTGGCCAGCAGGCGGCAGCGGTCTGTTATCGAGAAGCGCACTGGTTGAAGTTTGAACCGGTACCTCACTATGGACCATGTAATACTTCCATTTCCAAAGTCACTGTGAGCCCCGAAAAGAGCTACTGAGGTAAAAGCTATAGGGGAGAAATAAAAACCATAATGTCTTTTCGCGGAATTCGTGGAAAATAGGCTTCATATTCGTGTACCTTTTCGTCTTAACAGAATGTGTCAAGCTTTCAACAGCATTTATTGCACAAATATTTAGACTCGTTAATGTGTTGCAAATCTTATAAAACGCATACGTTGGAAAAGCAAGGAGAATGGACTGCATTACTGGCACAGCGGTGAGCAGGGAGTCGAACGAGATTTGTCCCCAAGGAGCGGCTACATCAAATATAAATTTTGAGCTATTCAGAAGGATTTCGAGGACACTAGCGTTGCTTATCGAATCGTACGCATCTGATCCATCAATACGTGAAAAAGTAGGAAAAAAAGGTGGGATACCCCTTTTAACATATGTGTTGGTTTCAATAGGAAGAAATCGGAACCTCTGCAGTGGATTACCTTATCAACCGTACACTAGTTGGGTACAAGCAGGTACGGGCTGTGAGTGGGATGTCTCTCCACCCGGACAGATATAGTCCCCAGACAGACGCCGTTAGACGCCGCTTTTCAGAAGCGGATGTTTTTACCGCATACCACGTGCAAAGAAAGGACTGTTGAAATAGCCTTATTCCTTGTAGAAAAACAGGGAGATGGATGTGCTGATATTTCACATGCCTTTATCGAAACGAATATCAGTTTGACTGTAGATATTTGAGGGATCATTGACTCAAATATCTCCTTCAAATTTATGTCACGACTCTGGGCGGTGCCTCATCAGGGATCCGGGGCACCGCTGGAAGTGTCTTCTTAAATGCCGACGGGTTTTATGTGGATATTTATCTCTGAATGCGAACAATCCTCCGAGGGGTGTTTGACTGTAACGACTCCTTAAAAAGAACCACACATATGTGATATTGAAATCACTTATCAATAGTGCTCACGCTTTTATACTGAAATACTGAATAAGGCTTTTACTACTGTCTTATCTATATGCATGATGTTCCTCGCAAATGCACTCAACAACTTTAGCACATAACGTGTCATGTAAGCGTAATATCAAGTAAATGTAACGTGTCATGGAAGAGAAGAAAACACCAAGCACACATTCGGTCATATACAGTGGGCTATTAGGCTGTCGGGCGGTTTGGCCGCACGGTCCTAGAGCGCTCACACCAAACGAGTCCGCTGGACAATCACTACAGCTTTCAGGTGGTGTCGTAGGACCTGCTAGCGAGCGGTACGAGCAATCGTATCATGTCTGATGTCTGGCCGAGGGCGTCTCACGGCGATTCAGCAGAAACAGCCCGAAAGAGGATGCAAGTGTGATGATGAGAATACTTATGCACGCTGCTTTATCTGGATATCACGTTAATTCAGACCAAACCTGGATTTGATCGCTAAATCGTGCGCCATTTTGTCACGGGCCTGCTGCGCCCATGTCTGCCGTGGCTGCGCATGCTGGGAACCCGATGCTCCTTGGCTGCTGGACTCAACCGTCACATTTGATCTTAGATTCGGATATACCTTAAAACCGACGTCGCACCCATGCACACAGCTGAGACTCGACCTCCCTGCCAAGACACCAGAAGCCGCGAAACGCAGCTGGTTCTAGACGTGACCGGCAGGCCTCGGCGAAGCTCGGCAACCGCGGTGACGTCACAGGCTGTCGTACGCCATAAGTTATTGCCGGAGGGCACCGCCATAAGGGGAAATGCAAACATGCCAGAGTAGTCCGAATGCCCCGTCGTCAGGGTTCAAGCGGAGAAACCAAACCCGCACGGGCCGCTTACGGACCCACCGGGTAGATCCGTGATGATGCCACCACGACCCCAAGCACACTCATTGTAAATCATATGCTCCGTAACCGCGAGACAAGCCTGCTCCTTCGGGCGGCAAATCCGTAGATTTGCTGTCGGGGTCCGCCGCGAAGTATTGGAGCTCTGGTCACGATACAATGCCCCCGATCGCCGGCTAAGCAGAGGGGTGTTGAATCACTGGTGCGAAACGATCGGTGATGTTCGAGTCGCGTGCTACGCTCATGGTCGTGTGCAATCCTCCATGGGTGCCTAGTGACCATTTGCGGATGGATATCATAGACCATAGTGACCATAGTGGGACGGCTCACATGAGACCGATGGACAGGGTCTGCCGGTATACTCACATGAGAGTGACCGCAGAGTCCGTCGGCGTACTCACACGAAACTGACGGCAGGGTCTGGCGGTACACTCACATGAGACTGACGGGCGGCGGCAGCGTCTGCGGCACAGCCTTGATTGCCTCGCCGTGGCAGACGCAGTCCAGCTCCCCGCCGCGGCCGTCGGTGGCGTTGCAGCAGGAGCAGCCGGGCGGCGGCCGTAGCCAGCCGCGGGCCGGCCGGCCGCCGCAGCTCACTTCCCACGTCGCCAGGTCGGCCGACAGATGGCAGCAGTGCCAGCGCGGGAGCAGCGGTCCCGGCGGCAGCCACGCGCCGCCGTCCCCGGCCGGCGGTGCCGGTGGCGCGGGTGGCGGGGGCGGCGCGGCCGGCGCCGCCGCCGGCGGCCGCGGCCCCAGCCGCTCCGTCAGCTCGGAGAGCGTGCGGACCTCGCCGGCGCCGAGCACCGCCAGCGGGTCGCCGCTGAGCGACGGCGTGACCGCCGTCAGGGCCTGGGCGCCGGCCGGCGGCAGCAGCAGCGGCACCAGCAGCGCGAGCAGGCGGACCGGGCACGGCCGGTCCGCCATCAGGTGCCGGGCGCCGGCGAGAACCGCCGTAGGCACCGCCTGCAGACGGAAGCAGGAGAGAAGCCCGAGTCAGAACGGGGCATGCACGCTTCTCGGCGCGTGTTACAGGCAAGGTCGATAAATAGAGGGTTTTACTTGTGACATATCAAGTGGTTTGGCGGTTAACCATGTACCTACGACCAGGGAGGGATTAACTTCGCTCGCTTGCATCATGTTTGTTGTATTCTGGAAAGATATTTAAGAAAGATATATACCAGTTTTCCTGCGTTAAGCATGCCGTTCCCAGCAAAGCATGGCTCGCAGGCGCTACCCAATTTTACATTTGCATCTGGCATTGCCTCTGATTGGCGATGTCAGCGCAGACATTGTCTCTGATTGGTGGTGTCCGCGTAGAGAGCAAATCACACTGTGGTGACAGCAGCGCAAACACAAATCCGAAAAAGTCGTGGCCTCCGTGTCATTGACCAGATTGGCAATTGCGATTAAGATCCAATCAAACACCGTTGGTAAGTCTGCTTGGGACGTTACACATGAGGGAGAAGAACTTATAATTATCCGCGGCATTCGAACAGCAGTTGGTTCGTATTCAACGATATCACTTCATTCAGAGTGGCTCTTGATGAAATGATTTTTTCATAAGTTGTCAAGTGCATTTGCGCGCACCATTATTGACATAGATAACACAGCAGTCTAGTCTCATTCCTCGGAGAGAAACCAGGAGAGTGTAAATATGGATGCATTGATGTTTTGGCAACATGCCTTTACCGAAACAATTAGCAAAAGTGAATAAGGGAATAGCCATCAACGCATCTATATCTTTATTCTCCTGGTTTTCCTCTACGAGGAGTTAGGTTATCACTCCAGTCTTAAATTGTTTTTCATTCCAAAAATGCCATGCGTCATAACGTTGTTATGGGTGCATGCATTTTGGCCTGCGGTGCGCATAGCATTCACTTTTTAGTTATTATTATTTTTTATTTATTATTTATGCGGGTAGATTTATTAATCTACCCGCATTGTTTAGGGCCCTGTTGATTGTAAGCCTATGGAACATATAGGCTTAGGCTTATACAGGCTTAAAAACAGGCAATGCCCACAGGCTTTCGGGTATGGAACTTCGGTTAGGAATATGCTTGTCATTCAGCCTGGGGGGAGGGAGCGTAAGCTGAAAGCGGATGATCCACATTTGAAGATAGAGAAGCAAGCATCAGATATGATGAAATATGCTCACTTATAACCATTGGTATACTTTTAATTGGAAAAGACTGCTCCAGACAGCACAATATTCCTGTTTAGTGAATATGCCCCTCAGTACCTCAATGTTTGATTACGTCACCGTCCCTTGCACAACATTGATCAAGAGCAAAGTGACGGCCGTGGCATCTGGAAATCGTGCTCGCAAACGCAGGCTATAAACGACACGACCATTCTACTTTTATCGGCCTTGATCGCCGCATGACTTATGGAATGACAAGATTCGAATGGCGTTATTGTGAAGTCATGAATTCCAAGTTGACCTTAAAATACTCTCCCCGAAAAAACTTCCAATTTTCGCCGGCGTATAGCTCAGAAACTTGAGGTGTTTTGCTCTTAAAAAGGGCAGGGCTGCAAACTGCACCGATAGGTATTAAACATTGCTCCTCCAGAAGAAATGTGCAACACTCTCTTTAATTCAGACAGCGCCTGACTTGTTAAGGACATACCGTAGCAGCAATGGCTGCGGGAGCCGTACGCGAAACATCCGGAAATAGCAGACATCGATCTGCTACAAATGGGCGGTACTATCCAAAACCATCGGGCATCAGTGCGGGGGAGGAGGAGGCTTCTTCCGAACACACACCGGGCGTCTATACAGCAGACCGGCCTATGCGGCACGTGCGCTGGAGCCAGCAGATGTCTTCCTGCAACTGTTCTGCATCTGCTAGTCAGGCCACCGTGAGAGATCACTCGAGATGGCACAGGGCCAATGTGTTGGAAATCCTGCAGCTGTTCTGCATCTGCTGGTCAGGCCGCCGTGAGAGATCGCTCGAGATGGCACAGGGCCAATGTGTTGGAAATCCTGCAGCTGTTCTGCATCTGCTGGTCAGGCCGCCGTGAGAGATCGCTCGAGATGGCACAGGGCCAATGTGTTGGAAAACCTCATAACCTGCATTGTGTAAAAGGTGAGTATGTGAAAGCATCTGGAATGAAGCCCGTTGGTTTTCATTCACTATGCTGTTGTGATGACGCGACATTAATAAATCCGTACGGATCAAGTCACTTATGCCAAGCTAACAGATGTGTGACGCTAAACGCGTTATTTAACTCGCTTCCACTTTCAAAAACTGACTGAAGAGAGATTTAGCTCCTTGTCAGACATTGTTCACGAAAAAACGTCACGCGCACATGTGGCCGTGACAAACTTCTGTCCAAGAGACTCTTCCTAGCCTTGCGGAGCCCTCTAACGAGAGTCACGGATCATGAAAGACGCGCTCGAATTCTGCGCTGGATTCAAGAAAAATCTGTTCGAGAAATAAGCCAGCATGAGTATTGCCACTTATCCAACTCCCATGGTCGCAGTGTTCCTTATGGTACAAACAAAGCCGGTAAGGATGCATTTGCATCACTTTTGTTGTTGCGTGTCTTTGCTGCTTTAAAATTACCTTTCCGTTCTTGACATGATCGTGATGAAACAATCTTATGAATCATGAATCCTAATAGCTCATCAATGCTTCCTGTGGCAGAAAATGTATGTTCGTTGCAACGGCAAGGTTTTTGGAACCTATTTATTAGAATTGGCACTGTAACCGGGTGAGATGTTAACAAAGAACAGGTCATGTGTACGTTTTTGAGAACACGCTATGCATCGTGCTGTATGTAATGGCCGGCACTTCTAAGTTTGGCCAGTTATTTCAAGGTATCAAGAGGCTTGTCTGTTTTGCCCCAATGACCAACATTTGAATAGAAAAGCAGCTAACCCTGAGGTGAACAGGAACTCTGCAGCCGAGGAGCTGTTCTTAAAAATAAGCATGAAATACAAATTTTGTGGGTACCACTTTCCTTCTGTATCTTATCCAAGTCATCATTTTCCAAAGCAGAACAAATGGCGCGACATCTTATCTCGTGGCGGAAATTTCATGTGGGTGATACCCGTCATTCGCCGCATTGAAAAAGTGTTACCAGACTTGAATCCTTTTGAGCAAGGTTAGTCAATTCGAGAAAAACATCACACATTTTTGTGGCTGATAGTTCCGACGCAAGTGTGTACTTCAGCGCGGTAACTAGGCATATGTGTTTCTTTCCCCGGTGTAGGAATATTGAATAATTTAGACACCAAATATTGAGTGATGTCGCAGCAATTGATCTCTGAAACTCACAGCATTTTGAATACAATTTTACACCCGTCTTCCCCTGCCGGAACAATTCTGGATTCTAGCGTCCTTGTGGTTGACGGCAGGCAGCTCATACTATGAACTCTTCCCTCCAAAGCAAGTCTTGAAATGATGGGTGGGTTCAAACATAGAAAGAACACCTTCAGTTTTTGCCGATTGATGGCGTTTTGATCATCTGTTAGCCCTGTGGGGGATGAGACATTCGAAGCAGTCTTTGTAGAGAGGATTCACTCCCACAGATAAATGAGCGTCTGTCCTCCTGTCACTTTTGTTGCATGGGGTAGGGGAGTTACAAGCTACCCGCGTGTGAAGCAAAGGATTATTTTGGCAAATGTGTTTGGAACAGTTCCATTGCTTGGCACCCCCTCTTCTTTGGGAGATGAGGCTAGGGCAGGGCCAGCCACCTTCTTATTCAGCATACGATAGTTGGATTACGATATATTGGATCACAAGCCGGCCGACCAGCCTTCATTATTCTACGTATGAGAACATTGTTTATACATTGGAAACCTTGGCAATGTTACGTCTGGTTCTATGGATGCTACACAATGACGATCGCGTGTTTCTGCGTACTGCGGTAATCGGCCGAAGGTTGCCTAAGCCTGCTGACATTATTCATCGACACTTATCGCCGGACAGGCATCCGGGGCATAACCGGTCCCAGCGAGAGTTAGGCCCATTACTTTAAGCTGCGCGCCTGGCAGAGGCATCTGCCTGGACGCCGACTGCTCTGTGGGCCGGAAATAGTTTGGCAAAACATTCAGCCAAGTTCTTGAGCCAGGTTATGTGTCGTTTACACAGCAGCGCTTTGCTGACGCTTAGCACATGGTGAGTGGCAATGTCGGCAATGGTTTATTAGCATCTTCTTACCGGCCATTTACGAATATTGTGCCTCATTCCAAACACCTAGTAACGGTACACACCACGTAGTGGGTAGCGCAGACGGGCGGCGGAGAGTACGTCTGCTGGTCTGCCCAGGCGTGGTCTGATCCTGCAGGTCTGCGCACGGGCGGTCGGATCCTGCCGGTCTGCGCAGGCGTCGTCTGATCCTGCAGGTTTGCACAGGTGTGGTCTGATCCTGCCGATCTGCGCAGGGGTGGTCTGATCCTGCCGGTCTGCGCATGCGCAGTCTGATCCTGCCGGTCTGCGCATGCGTGATCTGCTCCTGCCGATCTGCGCAGGCGCGGTCTGATCCTGCCAGTCTGATCCTGCCGGTCTGCGCAGGCACAGTCTGATCCTGCCGATCTGCGCAGGCGCGGTCTGATCCTGCCAGTCTGATCCTGCCGGTCTGTGCAGGCACAGTCTGATCCTGCCGATCTGCGCAGGCGCGGTCTGATCCTGCCGGTCTGCGCAGGTGTGGTCTGATCCTGCCGGTCTGCGCAGGCGCGGTCTGATCCTGCCGGTCTGCGCACGTGTGATCTGCTCCTGCCCATCTGCGCAGGCGTGGTCTGATCTTGCCAGTCTGCGCATGTGTGGTCTGATCCTGCCGGTCCGCGCAGGCGCGGTCTGATCCTGCCGGTCTGCGCAGGCGTGGTCTGATCCTGCCGCCACGCTCAGCTCGCTGGCCTGGACGGTCAGGTGAGGCCCCGGCAGCGACGACAGCCGAACGTCACGACCCTGCGGCCCGCCAGACACCATGGAAAAGTTCGCCGCCTGGCCAGCCAGCCATTTTTTCCGTCTACTGGTCTAATGGCCAGTCGATGAGTAATGACAGCAGATGGAACGATTGCAATTCGATAGGGCATGTGCTGGCCCGATTTGGCACGACGCGAGACGCCAGCTGTCGACGACGGAAATCAGCTGTCGATAAGTGACATGACCAACCGGTTGTCATCGAACTACACACACCCGCTTCACATATCCATTCTTAATCATAGCATTTTTACATCAGCATGCGACAAGGTGACCCTCAAAACTGGCCATCAAAGTGTTCACCCTGGAGACGGAAAATTCGCATATCTACTGCATCACGGAACTTCCCCTGCTTCTTGCTAACGACGTTAGGGCTTACTAAGAAAGGGCTACAGGGACGAAAACACTCAGATGTAGGTGGGCACATAGCTACAGGGTATTTAGTTCACGGTTATTTCGATCTGACGATTATGATAACCAGGATGGGAGCAGGGCATGTGCATAAGCTTTGAACTAAATTCACATCATGAAGGGCGTTATCTTCATGTGGCTGCTGAATATTTCACCATGAAGCTCCAATTTCCGCTCACGCCAACATCAGACACCAGGCCATAAGTGGATCCCAATCACAGAGAAGCAAAAGTTCCGATTCAATAAGCCAACTTCGGACGGAAAGCGAATGCCAATTAGAAAGTGGTGTAGTAACAGGATATTTACAGAGTGCAAAACGATATGCAATGATCGAAACTTTAGGGCTACTTTTGTAGATCAACGGATGGTTACAATACTCAACCCTGGTTACTGAAATACGTTTTCCGTGAAAGTAATCAACAACACGGGTGTCATGAATGTTAAATTGAGGGCTGGAAAATCACTGCGCACATTGCAGCAGCAACACGATTGCACAATGCGGTCTTCCGCAACCGGATTATTGAAGTAAAACAAAGCACGCGTAGATACAAGTCGTTTAAGGACGTATTCAGAGTGCGAAATCGAACGGCATCGGATATGCCCACTCAAAAGCAGATACCATATTCACAAGAAACACATACATTCTCGAGATGCGATGACTAGGTTGAGTCGACCATGGCGAAAACAGGAATATTAACGTATGGAAGCCGGTGACGATCAAATGCACTCAGAGGTGCGTGCTTGCCACGAGTGATATATCTGATTTGGGGTCCTATGGATGCGTGTTGCGAATGCAAAAAAAGTTTTATGGCATGGTAATTGTGTTTTAAAATTTGCTCAGCCTACTGCGGTCGTCATGTACGAGTGACAGCAAATTAACAACTTTTTAGTAAATTAAAAGTGTATCTTGTATGTGTCCGATTTGTGCGTCCAATGTGCCCCGTGGCGCACGTGCCAAGTGGTTGCATACATTTATCCACGTTGAAGAGTTTAACACGCTTCGTTTAATAGCTTGGAGAGAGTCTTAAAATAAGAATCTGAGCGCACAGCGAACAAGAATAAGCGTCTAAAAATCAATTCCACGGATGGCATGATCCTGCATTTCCACGGATGGTATGGTTGCTCGGACCATCGTTCTCGTCTGGTGTGCTAGTTACGCTCGTAACGTTTCGGTCAGTCAACTCTCCGGCCGTCATTGGGTGTCGCTGAGTCCTGAGGGTGACTGGTTTTGTTTGGTTTAGTTTTTTAGGAAGTCGAGCCGGGGTCTTTTGGTTGCGAGTCCAGATTTCTACCGACTGACGTCACCTGGACAAACGGCAGCTCAGTTGGTGGTATGCTGGACCCGCGATGAGGTGACGCAGACCCCAATCCCAGTCAATGCAAAGAGAACATTCGAGCTGCGACACATACTTGGATGAAAGTAAAAGGCCATCCAGTTCTTCTCATGACTCCATAAATAACACCTGGCTACGGCCGGAATTAATTGACCGAAACATTGGGAACCAGGGGAGAACGATAGCCCGAGCAAATAGTCTATCCGTGGTACCAATGCCTCATTTCAATCCTCTTGTAAATGCGGATGTAGAAGAACAATGCATGATGACACCCCAAAATTGTCCGAACCACAGTTGGACCAATAATAAAACGTAAGAATGTGAACTGGTTTTACTTTTGAACATACAAACTTATAACGTATTAATACAGCTAATAATTGGATCACTTAAAATATCAGCTTACATAAATAAACTTTAGATGCAAATAATAAAAGGAGTGGCCAGTACAAAAACAAATTTCGGGAATCAAAATCCTAATATTTTGCGTTTTAAAGATGGCGTCATCCCGCGTGGACTATCCAGTTTCACAACTGCCTTTCTTTTAAGTAATTCATTCGCACTGCACATTTCATTTTAGCCCCATTTCGCGAAAATGATGTTCAAATCCCTGATGCTTAGCGCGTCATACTTTTTCAGAGCACTCGGGATCTTTGAAAGCAAAACGGCCCGAATGCTACTGTTTAACATGAGATTGCTGGTGAACTTTCCGCACGTACCCGAAGTCGACGGTCGCGTGACGTCACGGTTGGCAGAATACATTGGCAGTGGCCGTGCAGTCCACTGGATGTGTGCCAAGAGTTTGCGCTAATGAATGGACGTTCACAATCATCCACAAGCTGAAGCAGCCTCCTCGACATCGCGTGATACCTCTTCCTGTCACTCACCGCGGGGGTTCAATGCTATAATGGATTTAAAAGGAATGTTTCACATTTGAAGATATTGAAGCACGCGTCAGAGGTGTTGAAACAAGTTCACTTATAGCAATTGGTATGCTCTTTGGGTCTTCAGACATCACAATTCCCTGTGTAGTAAATGTGCTGCTCAATGCGTCGTGGTTTGGTTACCTTGCCTTGTTTTCGTACCTTGCACAACACCGAGAGCCAGTTGATGGCCGTTATATCTGGAAATTGCGCTCACGAACGCTAGATATGAACGCCTCGGCAATCATATTTTCTTGGTCTCGATCGCCTCATGGCTTATGGAATGACAGGATTTGAATGACGTTATCATGATTTCATGAATGTTAAAGTGACTTTACAATACTCTCCCCGATGTACCTTCAGTAACGCAGGCAGGGGGAGGGGACACAAGGGGGCACGTGCCTCCCCCCCCTTAGGTTCCAAGGGGTCAAAAGGATCCCTCGGAAGCTGCGACTAGGGGCCTTAAAAACCAGCCGGACGTCTCATTCAGGGGCTCCGGCCCGTAGGGCCGAGCACTTAAACGCCAGCCAGGGGGCTCTGCGCGCTAATCAGGGGCCCACTGAGTTGAAAAAGGCCTATATTTTGGTCAGAGACCACTGGTAACGCGCAGTCGGCTCAACGGCAGCATTGGTCCGAGGGTCCATTTTCCAAAACAGGGACAAAGCCGGAGCCAGCGATTTGCATTGGCAGGGGCCTTGTATCTGTCCGAGGCCCACAGTGCCTAACAGAAGGCCATGTGCTCGCAAAGGCCTCGAGCCGACCAAGGGAAGTGTCCGATGAGGCCCGAAGAGGGGCCCGAGCGGCCACCGGAACCGACGACCGACGGCCCGGTGGCAGGGCATAAGGACCCGAAGGACTGGCCGTAGGTCACGTAAAGAATCGCGGTCCGTAGGGTCGTGACCTGGAATATAGTCCTCTTGAGGTTCTCTTGCACCATTTGAGGAACCAAGTACAATGCGGGTGTCAGGTCGTTCGGAGACCACGAACATCGAACAGTCGACTCCATGTTCATCTGAGCCCTTGAGACCCATTTCCCAAGCTGAAACGAGGCCGGGGTCCGCGATTTACAATGTTCAGGGTTCTGACTCAATGGTGTGCTTCTGTGTCGGTTAGGGGTCACAGTGCCGAGGATGGCCCTTCAGCCTTTGCACTGGGAACATTAATGCGCCCGTGCTATTGCACTCAAAGTAATCCTTCACCTGAAAGCAATAAGGAGTCTTGTTAGTGTTAAAAAGATGGGTAGAAATGAGTTTAAAACGCACAAGGCTATCTCATGCTTCCCTGAGAACGTTCATTGTTTTGCAGAATCAAATAGCGAAAAACCATCAAAAGGGTTGAGCCTGCGCGTCGGATGCCGATAGTGTAGTGGTTTACGCGCCTGCGCAAAACACTGCGCGTCTGGGAAACTACAGGCATAGTGTTCGATTCCCCACGGCGCCCGCCCTTCCCGCCAGGGTGAAAGGCTGGCGGCGCCATATTTCTTAAGCAGCTGAGTGTCATAAAGCCTCAGCGACACGCCCGTAATCTCAGGGAGCAAGGATAGCGATGGCTTGGATCGCAGTTTTCGCTAAACCGAGCGGCGTTGACCACTGCAGGCAACGTCAGGGGACGGGCGCCGACTGCGCAACAATGACCATGGTAACACAATATTTCTGAATGTCTTTTACAATTAATTCGTGCAGTACAAAGATTACACCGAGAAAATATTGGTCACAACTTTGAGGTTGTTCTCTGGACAGACTAATAGTTACAGTAACACGAAAAATAAGTATTTTGCCGTACTCTTTCAGTTCTACCACCACATTCCAGCATTACTTTGCGGTGCTGTAAAGACTAATACGTTACTGTTATCAATCTAAAAACAGCACGTGTAAAATATACGCCATAAGATCTCTAAATGTACGATTTGGGGTCCAAAAACGTTCTAAGGTACTTTTTCAGATGTCTCATCATTTTCGTCCACCTGCTGGTCACGACCTCGTATTAGCCGCGGAACCGCGCGGCCAATGGAGACTGCAACGCCTGGTGTCGAGTTTTCAGATATGCGAGTGCGCATGCTCAAACTGCGTTTCATCGTTTGTACCACTTATCAATTCTAACTAACTGTTGAACATATCCAGACAAACATGGCTTGGTCGTGTTAATGCAAATTGTCCACCCATTTTGATCTACGGTCTACAATCGCAGAATCCCTGCTACCTCTGTACAACCGAGATATAATTCTGACAAAACTTCTGAGTGCCATCGGTTTGAGTTCACTTTAGAGCTCCCTTAACCATTGTAGGTTTGAGTTCACTTAACCATTGTAAAATGAAGAGCGCCGGTGATTTATTTCATGCTG